CAGCTCAGCCTCCGTTGCCCGGCAAGATCGCGGCCGCCGCGGGCCCGCGCCGCCCCGGTTCCACTTGCCCCTCGCCGTCAGCGGCCTCCTTTCACTTCCTGAGTCACTTAAAGCGGCAAGAGCCCTTTTCGGCGTTTTCCCGCGGGGCCGAGCATCTCCCCCCTCCCCACCCCCGGAAGGAGAAGCTCCACCGCGGTCTCTCCCTCACTGAGCAGAAGGCGATGGGCCCCGCCTTCCCCACGCCCTCCCTGGAGGTGTCAACCTGACCGAAAACCACTAGCCTGAGGTCCCTGCGGACTTAGGTCACTCTAGTGTCAACCTGTCCCCGCCCCCATTTCAGTCCTAGGATTCTGCAAGGGGCTGAGGCCCAAGGCTGTTTACCAGGCTGAGCCTGCTCTCCGGGGATTTCTACAAGGCCCCCCCAAAAAGGGCTGTGTTTCTTCTACTAGGCTCCGGGAGCCTCCGAGTCAGGCTGAGCAAACAGGCAACATTTTCCATCCAAAGCGATACTACGTACACATCGTGTTGTTTGCAGAGTCTATTTGCATTCCAGTCTCCTAGGGACTCACAATCGCTGGGTGGTAGCTGTGTCAGGAGAAGGGAGGTGCAGGGAGACCGTATTTACGAAGTGAGATTCCAGCCCCCAGTTACTAAGGGGTTGGTTCCCCTGGATTCAAACCCGGCTCCAAGAAAATGGAAAGGAGCTGATACCCGTTAAGCAAAATGCCCTAGACTCTGCTGGATCTTTAGGTGGTGTTTTCAAGACTTGTTTTAGAACTTTATTCACAAAAATCCCTAAATCCTAAGGTCACCACTTAGTTTTGTAATCATGAACAAATTTATTCACCTTTCTGCTTTTCTGCTTTAAAAAGAAACAAACAAAAAAATGTGTAAAATAGAAATAATGATAATATCTACTTCATGGGGATGTGTGGATTAAATGTAAAGGAGTTTGCACTGTGGTCATCACTAAGATTTAATTATTATTTTTAGCACAAATTGTAGTTAGTGCCCGACAATGACCCTTTGAAGATCATTCTGTATCTTAGGCATGTAAGACATTTTTGGCGGGCTGCTGGCAATGTAGACTTCCCCATCTCTACCCTTTGTCTCTCCAGTAACAATATATATATATTTGAGAGAGGAATATATATATGTTTGAATATATGAGGAATATATATATGTTTGAGAGAGGAAAAGGGACATTTTGATCTAGTGGGGCAGAGAAGTGGGTTAGAAGAATGGAAGGTAAGTGGGCATGTGATGCACGCTTTTAATCCCAGCACTTGGGAGGCAGAGACCAGCGAATCTCTGAGTTTGGGGCTAGCATTGAGGCTAGCACCGTCTACCTGTGGGGAGGGGAAGTTCTAGGACAGCCGGGGCTACATAGAGCCTATCTCTTAAAGGAGAGGGGGCAGGGAGC